TTATTTATTTTTGAGAGAGAGAGCACGACCGGCTGGGGGGGGGGGGGCGGGGTTGAAGAGAGAGAGGGAGACGCAGAATCCGAAGCAGTCACCAGGCTCTGAGCTTCAGAGCCTGACGTAGGGCTCAAACCCACCAGCCGTGAGATCGTGACCTGAGCCAAAGTCGGACATTTAACGGACTGAGCCACCCAGGCGCCCCAAACTGAAACACTTTTAAGAATTGATCATATACCAGGGGTACCTGGGTGGCTGGTTGGTTAAGCTTCCAACTCTTGACTTCCGCTCAGGTCATGATCTCAGGGTTTGTGACATGGAGCCAAGGCTGGGCTCCCTGCTGACAGCACGGAGTCTGCTTGGGATTCTCAGTCTCCTGTCTCCCTCTTTCTCTGCCCTTCCCCCCACTCGCGTGCACGCACATGCGCGCTTTCTCTCTCTCTCTCTCTCTCTTCTCTCTCTCTCTCTCTCTCTTTCCCCGTCAAAAAACAAACCTTTTTTAAAGTTAATTTAAATTAAATTAACTTTAAAGATTGATCATATACTATACCACAAAGAAAACCCCAAATTCTTAAAAGCGGAAATCATAACAGGGCAATCCTATTAGCACAGTGCAATAAATATGAAATTAACAACAAAAAGCTTCTCCCAACTGCCACTCCCCCCAAATAAACTAACCCCTGGACATTTTAAACTGTTTTTTAAATAGCCCTTAGATTAAATCAACAAAGAGAACACTACATCATATCATACGGGCGTTGACCAAAACCGTATTTAAAGAAAAATTCATAGCTTTACATATTTGTATTAACAAACAGGAGATGCTGAAAATAAGCACCCAACTCAAGAAACCAGAAAAAGAACAGAATAAACCAGAAATATTTGATGTTCAAATTTAGGCCAAATAAATTTTAAAATCTAAGAAAATGACTCATTTTTAAGGAAAATATAAATCACCAAAATTCAAGCACATAGAGGTTAGAAAACTTGTATAAATAGGTAACTAGAGAAGAAATTGAAAAGTTTTTTAAAGATACACTATCTTCACTCTTACCTACCCCCTCATATTCCTCTATGAGTTTATGTGAGTTCCTTTTTAAGAAAAAAAGAGGTTAAATCCCATTAATGAAGTTTGTTGTCTTTTGATTGTATATTAAGTTGGAGGGGATGAAGTTTGGATTTGAATTATTATTAAACATCTAGCATGAGTAAACCTATGTTAAATGCTTATGTGGGGAGAGAGAAATAAGAGACAAACCTATCTTCAAAAAGTTCACATTCTAGCAGTGAGAAACATTTGCGTGATACAGTAGAATTGAAAGATAGGAAGAAAAGAGCATTATGTGTGGGAGAAGCTCACTTAAAAGTTCCGAATCCAGGGGCGCCTGGGTGGCGCAGTCGGTTAAGCGTCCAACTTCAGCCAGGTCACAATCTTGCGGTCCGTGAGTTCGAGCCCCGCGTCAGGCTCTGGGCTGATGGCTCGGAGCCTGGAGCCTGTTTCCAATTCTGTGTCTCCCTCTCTCTCTGCCCCTCCCCCGTTCATGCTCTGTCTCTCTCTGTCCCAAAAATAAATAAAAAACGTTGGAAAAAAAAAAAAGTTCTGAATCCATGGGGCGCCTGGCTGGCTCAGTCGGTTGAGCTTCTGATTCTTGGGTTCCACTCAGGTTGTGACTTCATGGTTCATGAGCTGGAGTCCACGTTGGGCTGTGTGCTGCCAGTGTGGAACCTGCTTGGGATTCTCTCTCTCTCTCAAAATAAATAAATAAGCTTTAAAAATATATATTAAAAAACAAAAGTTCCAAATCCAGGGCCAACTAGCTCGCTCAGTTGATAGAACCTACAACTCTTGATCTCGGGGCCATGAGTTCGAGCCCCATGCTGGAGGTAGAGGTTACTTAAAAAAAAAAAAAAAACAAAAAACAAAAAACAAAAACTATTAAAAGTTACAAATCCAAAGAAACACTGTTTTGATGAGAGGGTGACTCCTTTTTAATATTCTTTCAAGATGGAATCATCAACAATAAAGAGATGTATAGATTTAGAGGCAGAAGAGCTGGCTGGATGGAGAGGCCTTTTCTGACATCCCCCCTAAAGGATGAGGTCAGGAAGTGGGCTCAATGCGGGAGAGTGGTTATCGTGATCCTTGGCACTTCATTTCCTTTGTAAACATACTAGAGCTAGGATCACATAGCTAAACTGGAAAGTTGGATTCTTTGGCTGGTTTTCTTTTCACAGCTAGGCTATAAACTTCTTTAGGACAGAGAGTGTATCTTAACGCATGATGGTACAGCCAGTGCTTGGAACCAAAAAAACTATTGAATAATGGATTTGTTGTGCTGTAAAGAGAATGAGGTCTTACCTTCTTCCCCAAGTCTGGAAAGTAGGCCAAATATATAATAGGGTTTCTTTTCATCTTCTCAGCTCAAGAGTCAGGATATCTCAGATTTAACAGCAGTTGAAAGGGAAGACTCATCTTTACTTACTCCTGCAGCCAAAAAAATGAAAATAGATACCAAAGAAAAGAAAGAGAAGAAGCAAAAAGTGGATGAAGATGAGATTCAAAAGATGCAGTAAGTTACTTTCTGATTTTTTTCCCCATTTCAAGTCTCTAACTTGACCATACAAAGTCAATAAATTTGGGGAGCCTGTAATTTTTTCCCCTTTTTTATACTCAAAAGAAAGTAAAGCAAATAATACCTTATGTAACATTTTAGGAAATATAAATAAATAAAAAGAAAAAAATATCCCCTTGTCACCAGAAATAAACACTGTTAGTATTTTGAGGTATAGTCTCCAAGATATTTTCTATACATGTATATCCAGAAATAAATTTTTTCAAAGATGTTACTGTTTGTGACCTGTTTTTCACATTGTATATGGTGAATGTTTTCCATGTCAGTAATTATACATAGGTCATAACTTTTAATGGGCTCATTGCAAATTTATCAGAGAATACAGAAAAATAGAAAAAATAATTACCCATAATCCCACCACCCACAATTAACCCTGGGTATGGATTAGGTTATATACTTTTTCAGATTTTGTTTTAAATGTTTTAAATATTTATAGCTAAATACTTTCTTGTAAATCTGCCTGTAAATTATCAATTTCAGTGGGTGCATTGTATTCCATTATGTAGATGATCATTTAACCAATCCCTGTAGTTCTTTTTCTTCTTTTGACATTATTATGATTGAGCATCTTTGAGCCCATCTTTGCATACTAGTCCATTTAGTTCCTAAATAAACCCCCAAGGAGTGAATTGCCAGTTCAAACAGTCTGAATGTTTTCAAAGACTCTTCATACACATTTCCAAATTTTTCTCCAGAAGGGTGGTTGCACTTCACACTCTACCAGCATGTAGAAGTTTGTGTACTCCCATTCTTACTAATACCATTCTTTATAATGCTCATCTGTCTGATTCATGAAAAATGTTATCTTATTTTAGTTTATCATTTTAATTTCTTTAGTTAATAGTGAAGGTTAACTTTTTTTCCTCTGTGTTGGTCATCGGTATTTTTGTAACTTGCCTATTCATGTCCTTTGCTTATTTTCAAAATCGCTATCTTTTATTTATTGGAAAGCATTAAGAGCATAAACCCTTCTCCATATATTTTACAAATATTTTCCCCCAAGTCTGTTAATGTCAAAACTACTGGTTTGAATATAAATTTATGTATCAAATTTTTACCATCAATGTGAAATGTAATAAGGTAGAGTTAGGGGTAGAGAGAGCCTAGTGCTGAAAACATAATCTATATAGTGACCCAACATTGTAGTTTAAGTTTTTGTTGTTAATGAAGTAGAAATGAAGTTGTATGTCATTTTCTCTTAAGTTTCTAAAGAGTAAAAATGCTTTGTCTTCATTCCTTGTAAGCACCAAGCTTAATGCTATTGACCCCTTGAAAATTCATTTTCTGGGGCGCCTGGGTGGCGCAGTCAGTTAAGCGTCCGACTTCAGCCAGGTCACGATCTCGCGGTCCGTGAGTTCGAGCCCCGCGTCGGGCTCTGGGCTGATGGCTCAGAGCCTGGAGCCTGTTTCCGATTCTGTGTCTCCCTCTCTCTCTGCCCCTCCCCCGTTCATGCTCTGTCTCTCTCTGTCCCAAAAATAAATAAAAAACGTTGAAAAAAAAAAAAGAAAATTCATTTTCTAATTGTCTGAGACTTTTATTGATGTGATAATATACCTTAAATATTTGTTGTTGTAAGCCAACTTAATTATCTGAATCTTTGTCTAGAATCCTGGTTTCTTCTTTTTCTGAGGAGCAACTGAACCGTTATGAGATGTACCGCCGGTCAGCATTCCCTAAGGCAGCCATTAAAAGGGTAAGGATGGGCTACCACACTTCATTTCCATCAGATATGAGAGTTGAACTAGACACAAGAACTGTGTCCACCTCATTTTGAATGAGGTGCTAGTCAAGTTGGTGGATCATTCACACAGGAAAACAAAAATAAAATGCCTCTCGATTATCAATTGGAGTTTTGTATTCTGGGGATAAGGTCTAAACGTAGAGAATGAGTTGCTGTACACCTGAATCTTTGTCTTAATAGTCTTAATTTCAGTATCCAACCTTTAGTAAAAACCTTTTTAGTACAAAACTCTTAAAGGGTACCATATTCTTTAAAGCAGTCCTTGACTTTCTTAATCATAGTCTTTGTTCTTCTTTCAAGCTGATCCAGTCCATCACTGGCACCTCTGTGTCTCAGAATGTTGTTATTGCTATGTCTGGCATTTCCAAGGTTTTCGTCGGGGAGGTGGTAGAAGAAGGTAAGTGTTGTTGATAGCATGTACAGGATTGAACCTCTGGTGGTCTTAACTTTCAAGAATATCTATGCTAGGGGACCTAATAAAGTACCTGTGGGTGTTTCCATTTGCACTAGAAGTTGACCAAGTGGGGCACTTTGTTTTTTTTTTTTTTTTAATTTTTTTTTTTCAACGTTTATTTATTTTTGGGACAGAGAGAGAGCATGAACGGGGGAGGGGCAGAGAGAGAGGGAGACACAGAATCGGAAACAGGCTCCAGGCTCCGAGCCATCAGCCCAGAGCCCGACGCGGGGCTCGAACTCACGGACTGCAAGATCGTGACCTGGCTGAAGTCGGACGCTTAACCGACTGCGCCACCCAGGCGCCCCCCAAGTGGGGCACTTTGTATTCAGGAGAGCATGACCATTATTCCTCAAAAGTTTTAATACTGGGACTCAAGGAAGCATCTGGGAAATCTTTCCAGATTCCTGTCCTCAGTCCAGGGCGACAGAAGCCTACTTCGTATTTTTCCCCAATGGAGTTTGCTCATTTCTGTTGCCAAATTAAAGACCTAAGATAAGCTATCACTGGGGGCTGACCAGTGTGGTATGATGAGTTGTCCCTCATGTTATGAATCCTGGGAACTGTCCTCTATCCATCAAAGAAAGAACCTTGGCTGAGTGTATTGCTGGTCTCCAGTCAGTGAAATGTTTTATTTTTTTAAGTAGAAGATTATATATTACACTAAAGCTAACGTGATAGGTTTTATAGCATTCTCTTAAGAAGGGAAAATGTCTTGGTTTATTTCCTTAGCAAGCTTAAGAAGGGTTAATGAGAATTATAGGATTCAAATGGATTATGTGATTAATAAGTCCTGTGTGACCATGAAACTTTCTTCTTATCTTCTGTTTAGCACTGGATGTGTGTGAGAAGTGGGGAGAGATGCCACCACTACAACCCAAACATATGAGGGAGGCTGTTCGGAGGTTAAAGTCGAAGGGGCAGATCCCCAACTCAAAGCACAAAAAAATCATCTTCTTCTAGATTGAAGCCTAGAAAGGCCTGGTACTGAAGGAAGGAGTACCGGTTCCAGACTTCCTACTGCATGAGACTTTTGCACAGGTGCTTTAGTCCTCTAAGGATTCCATGATGATTTTAATGTCTTTCTCAGAACTCTGATATTCATCACATCTAAAAGGCATGCAGCCTGTTTCATACTTGCCTTGACTAAATATTGGCACCTCTTTGGACATTCTGAGGCATTTAACTATTTCTTGGCTAGTTGGAAGAAGAAAGGTACATGGGCCTTAAGCGTCTTCCAGACAGAGAAGCTGCTTTCAGAAAGTCTTTCCAAGAAAGCTTTGATGGTTTCACATTGAAGCATGAAGTTGCTATGATTTAGGTTGTTTCTTCCATCTGGTTTTAAGTAGATGAAACAACCAGAAACTTTGACTTGTGATACTCTACCATGAAGAACACAGTGATGGGAGGAGTGGTGGAAAAGTTTATCCCTGTACACATGTAAAGTTCCCTATGGATCTTGGTGAGTGATCATTAAACTGTTTTCCAACTTGCCTTATGTGTATTCATTTTCTGTCTAGCTGGTTGGAATGGGGAGAAGTTCATCATTATTTTTTGGTGTCAGATTAAAACTGGTCTTTGGCTTTTTTTGAAAATTTGAGCCCTTCCCATTTTCTACTAGAACCATTTAAAATTTTCTCAAGAGTACTTAAAACACTTAAAAATAATGTAAAAGCCCATATATTTCAGGTTCCTATAAACAGATAAACCACAACCAATGTTTAGTAAGTTTAATTTGCTTTTTTCAGGTGGTTCACAGAACCAGTACACTCAAGGTTTGATTAGATAATGCAACATTAAAATTTCCCAATACTGACCAGTATTCCAGTTCATCAGATACATTCTCATTGTTTTCCTCAAAGAGAGGGGAATAGAGTGACCTTTTATTGACAGTGATTAGCAGTAATAAGGCTACTGTATATAATTGGCAATCCCCAAGAATCCTTTCCTCTATCATTAAGTTTCATAGGGAGAAGAATTTTGAAGCTGTTCTCTTTTGAAGCTTTCCTGAGCATGTCTTAAAAGATTCCAATTCTGTTCAGCACCCTGATGGGGGGGGGTAGTGGGGAGAAAGTTTGGACTCACAAAGTTGAGCAAATCTTTTATATCTTACACTAAAACCCATGGCTTTAAACATATATTTAGCCAGTGAAGACACATCACATTTGGGGCATTCCACAAAGAAATGCTGTAAGACTCAGGCTAAATCTTGACCAAAAACTAATAAACTGGGGGAAGGAAGAAAAAGCAAATAGTCTCTCAGCTCCAACAGGAATTTTTTTTTAACGGTTATAGGAACTATAGCTATTTCAATTTGAGATACTAGATAAGGCTGAAACTTATAAACAACAAGGGAGAAAGATCACATCCCAAGCCTGGCCATTTAACAAAGCCTCACTGTTTAAGGTTCTCCCAGAGTGCATCTTCCTTGTGTCTGTTGTAAGAGATGGGGAAAATAATCCCCCCTCAACAATAGCTACTAACTACTATCCATACCTACCTAGAGGTGAATGGGAATATTCCTATTCTAGTAGAAAGTGGGGAAAGATCTAGGTGAGGGCCATAGTCTCTGGAAGGATAGTACATCACACCAGCTTCTCTTGAAAGAGTAAGGACTATGGTAAGTCACAAGGCAATGACAGCTTTTGTAGTTCTCAACCAAATGTCATTCTACTAGCATTGCGGCAATGTTCAGTTGTTTCCATTGTTTTGTGATGTTACTATAACTGATTTTAGAAGTTTAGGCAAATATTAAATGAGAAAAAAACAAACCTTCGGTGTTAAGGTTTGGAATGGCAAGTTCCCATATCACTATGGGAATACTTCAAACTACTTGCTTTCCACCAGCCCTTGAACTAGTCTAAGGGGAAACTAATGTAAATGGGTTAAATGAGAGCATTTAAATTATGGGGCATGTTTATCCCTCGTATATTCCATACACAGAAACCATTCCTTTCAGAAGCATGAAAAGGGTATATAAAATGAGGCCCATGGCACAATGGGTGGGGTGGGAGGTGGGGGTGGGGATGGGAGTCAGATTAAATAATACAGCAAAAGCAGCCATCACAAAAATAGAACCTATTCCTTCTGTCTTAAAGAGATGAGGTTAATTATTTCAGTGAGATGAAAACAAATCTGAGATTGATAATCATCCCTGTAGCTCAGCTAAGAGATAATTAAACTAGTCCCTACACACTAAAGCCCGTCTCCAGCACGTCCATGTAAACGGGAAATCTAGACAATCATAGATGATACATAGTTGTAAATGTTTCACAGCTGAAATGATGATGTGCAGCAGCTGAAGTCTTTGAGGGATAGTGGTGCTATCACTCCAGACATTTTCTTGAGGTATTATTTCTTGTTCACAGAGTCTTAGAGCTCCAAGGCAGAAATCATAAGCAGTCCAAAGCACTACTATTTTCCTTCCATTTTTTTTCTTTACATTTACCCTGAGGACTACCAAGAAAGTCTTCTTGCTCCCAGTGAATAGGAGTATGAAGTTATACAAGATGATTGTTACTAAAATTTCACGGGACCATGACTCCCACATTTCCTGGAGGAGGATTTCAAGACACAATAGCCAAAACTGCCATGTAAGTCAGAAATTCTAGGGCTCCATTTGTCACATAGACAAGAACTCCGGAGAGCCCAGAAACCTGACTGAACTCTGGTCACTAAAGGGGTTAGCCTTGATGCCTGCCAGAATTGTTTGTATTGCCTACCAGCAAGCACAGGCTTAAGGTGAAGGTATTCCAAGCAATACCTATTAGGCATTTTCTTTGCATGGAGGGATGCCAGAGGGATATGGTGGGTGGGGGAGGTGAAGAGGGGAAGAGAATCAGAATGTGGTTTTAAACCAATTCAGGTGAACCTAAGGTTGAATGATTCTATTTTCCAGCTACTGGATCTCCCTCCTCTAAGAACATTAGAAAGGCCATACTTGAGAGGATCGGTGATCCATTTTGCTCAACATTATGCCTTCCAAAGGAACACTAAGGGGGAGTTTATGGAGGGACACAGTTACCCTCTCAGTTGTATTTCACCAAATGGCCTTAGTTTTCTAGAATTCCTTTGGAAGGCCACCATACAAGGATTCCTCTTAAACCTTCAGCACCTGTACATAGGTTCTGCCAACACCACTTCTTGGACAATGAGCTCCTTAAGTTTCTGATTGGCTATGGGAAGTGCTTTCTTGTACCTAAGGCTATGAAGTTGAGCCCTAGAACTTGTATTTCAGGACTTGGTGAACACGTCCTTCCTCCTGACTGGTTATCTGATGTACACCACCCTTAGCTTTCATCTTTCCAGAATTGGAGCCAACATCTTAAATATGTGTACTCATGTGGAAGTATCTCCACTCTGATAATTTTTGCTATTCTCTTGACCTTTCTTCCCTTCACCATGTATTTTGCAAATAAGGTCACTAGAAATGCACAGACAATTTAAGCCATTAAAATGGTTTTGTAAGGGGTCCTGTTTTCTGTATTGTCTTCACGTGCCTTTCCTGATGATGCAGTTGGGTTTTGAGCCACAGCAGCACACTGACCCCTCCTTCCCTTCAGCAATGGTTAAGTTTCTGTGCTGAGTTCTAACAGAGCTTGCTGCCTCACTGGTTGCTGGTAAGTACTTTACTTTACACTTACCTAGACTGAACCTCACCTGTGATTTTCCTGTGTAGTCACAGCCTGGCTTATGTGCCTTCTCTGATTTTGTTATTGTTTTAAGTCCCTTCTGGTTTACCTTTTATTCCTTGGAAGTAGGGACACTTGACTGCATTATAATATCCTGCTCTCAGATTATTTATAAAAGTCTTAAGTAAGGTTAAAACAAGCGTTGACCCATAGGAAACTTCCCATTAGCATTATCTCCAGAAAGATGTTTATTCTTCAGTGTCTAAGTTTTTTCCTAAGCATGACAAAATACTCTTGTATCTCATAGTAACTGGTGCTTTTAAAATTGCTTTAGTGACGGACCTTGACAAAAGTTCTTTGGAAGTCTGAAGAAATTATATCTTGCTCCTTCTTGAATGCATGTTTCTTTTTATCCTCAAAAAACTAGAATATGCAAGTCAGACATGATTTCCCATAAAGGAAAATAGTTTATCTTTCCTCCAATAGGTCATGTGTGATTAAGATTTTAGTGACATCACTAAATAACTATTTTACCATCTTGCCAGTTTAGTTAGCTAATGAACTTCCGTCCAATCAACACAGCATGAAGTGTATCACAGAGCAGTATGGATGAAGGTAGAATGCTGGGGAAGAATTAGGTAGGAAAGAAAGAGGGGGGAAATAGTTGTTTTATGGGGCAAGGGGAAACCTACCTAAGTTGAAGCATTTTTGTTTTGTTTTTTTACTTAAGTCAAAATTACACGGTTTTAAAAAGCCACAGTGATAGAAGGATATGAGAGGCAACAGGTTGAGATGTTTACGTTATAGTTTAAAACACATTTTCAGCTCCCAAACCACCAAATGCAGAGGAGAGTGCTGGTAGAAAGTCCCAGTGCCTGGAGAGCAGATGTGCCTGGGAGCCCAGGGAGACGAAGGAAACAACTTCTGAAGTACAGCTGTGGAAGAGGCAGGACTCTAGGCAGGCAACAGGGGGCTCAGGATCAAGTCCCTTGGTGATTCTTACCACATCATACCTTCAACCTAGCTCAGTGAATATATTTGCTTGATTTAAATTCCAAATAAATTCTGTTACAGAATCGCATCGCAGTGATGAAGTACAACAGAAAAGAAGCTTAATACAGCTTGGCTGACTGTAGGATCAGCCAAGATGGTATGAGCTTGGCTCCCTTTCCAAAAAAGGCAGCATCCAGGTCTCCCTTACTCTTGTGCCTCTCCCGGCTCTCGCCTTGCTGGCTATTTCCTGTTCTATTCTACTACCATGGCCAAAGCTCAGGCCAAGGACTTCTCAGGTCTGCTACAGGAAGCTCTGGGACATAGAATCTTTGGTGGCTCTGTGGGTGACTGAGGAGATGGGTACCTTCTCTTGTTCACACAGGTTGTAGAGGAAGCAAATGTCTCTGCCATGAAACCAGGTGGTGAAATGGCCCTACAGTGTTGACAAGATTCCACCTAGTGTGGAGAGGGCCAAAAGGCTTTATACAGGCAAGACATGCTTGAGCCACGCACAAAGCTGCCCCCAGTTTCCTAGAACTTGGTCATACTTTGCCCTGTCTTCCACCCGAGTCAGAACAGCTAGTAGAAAGGACACCACAAGGAGTGAGGTGAGCACTCCCCAGTCCCTCTGGCATCCTTAGCAGACTTATTCAATGCTGGACAGCGCCTTCTGTCATAGGTGGTGCTATTGCTGGTGATCTCCTCCTCTCTCCTTGGCACAGATGGCTGAGCCACTGCTATCAGAGCTCAAAGAGGGGGTCATATTTCCTAATCTCCTGAAGCAGTCTTTCTTTATCCTGGTTGGCATTGGCCAATGCTCGTTTAGTTTCTATAAGTTCCTTCTGTAGGGTAGGCAATTCTTTCACCTGA